ATCCTGTTTAACTCAGACCATTTCTCCAGATCATTTTGAATTACGACCCTGTCCTCCAAAGCAGTTGCAATTCCTCCCAGTTTGGTATCATCCGCAAACTTAATGTGATCCTGGGATACATAAACACAGGAATCTCGAGTAGAAGCAGAAAGGCTGTATTTGGCACTGGTGTGACCGCTCCTGGAATACTACATCAGTTCTGGTGTCCACAATTCAAAAAGCATGTTGATAAATTGGAGAGGGTTCAGAGAAGAACCATGAGAAGAATTCAAGGATTCCTTGTATCGATAGACTCAAAGAACACAATATATTTTGCTTCACAAAGAGTAGGTTAAGGGGTGACTTGATCACAGTCTATAAGTATTGTGACAAAGTCCCTCCTCTATCTTGGTGGGTCCTGCGCTTATTGGCAGATTTTCTTGCCTCAGAGATTCACCATGTGGGTTGGGGAACAGCCCAGAGACCTTCTCCTCTGGAAGAACCCACAGTCCAGGTCAATTGGGAGGTTTGGGGGGAACCCGGGCCCGCCCTCTACTCCGGGTTCCAGCCCAGGGCCCTGTGGACTGCAACTGTCTATAGTGCCTCCTGTAACAGCTGCAGGACAGCTACAACTCCCTGGGCTACTTCCCCATGGCCTCCTCCAAACACCTTTCTTATTCTCACCACAGGATCTTCCTCCTGGTGTCTGATAACACTTGTGCTCCTCAGTCCTCCAGCAGCACACCCTCACCCTCTCACTCTCAGCTCCTTGTGCCTCTTGCTCCCAGCTCCTCACACTCGCACCACAAATGAAGTGAGCTCCTTTTAAAACCCAGGTGCCCTGATTAGCCTGCCTTAATTGATTCTAGCAGCTTCTTTTAATTGGCTCCAGGTGTCCTAATTAGCCTGCCTGCCTTAACTGGTTCTAGCAGGTTCCTGATTACTCTAGTGCAGCCCCTGCTCTGGTCACTCCGGGAACAGAAAACTACTCATCCAGTGACCAGTATATTTGCCCTCTACCAGACTCCTGTACCCCACTGGTCTGGGTCTGTCACAGTATCTACAAGGGGAACAAATCTATCACAATGGGCTCTTCAATCTAGCAGAGAAAGTTATAACACGATCCAATGGCTAGAAGTTGAAGCTAGACAAATTCAGGCTGGAAATAAGGTGTACATTTTTAACTGTGAGGGTAATTAACCATTGGAACAAATTACCAAGGGTTGTGGTGGATTCTCCATCACTGACAATTTTTAAATCTAGATTGGATGTTTTTCTAAAAGATCTGCTCTAGGAATTATTGTGGGGCAGGTCTCTGGCCTGTGTTCTACAAGAGGTCAGACTAGATGATCACATTGGTCCCTTCTGGCCTTGGAATCTATAAGTAATGAAATAATGATATTCCCATAAGCAAACTAGTGAAATGTGGTCTAGGTGAAACTACTATAAGGTGGGTGCAGAACCGGTTGAAAGACTGTACTCAAAGAGTATTTACCAATGGTTCCTGTCAAACTGGGAGGATGCATCTAGTGGGATCAGACAGGAGTCTGTCGTGAGTCTGGTATTTTCATGAATGACTTGGATAATGGAATGGAGAGCATGCTTATTAAATTTGCAGATGACACCAAGCTGGGAAGGGATGGAAGCACTCTGGAGGGCAAGCTTAGAATTCAAATTGACCTCAACAAATTAGAGAATTGGCCTGAAATCACTAACATGAAATTCAATAAAGCCAAGTGCAAAGTACTTCACAGAGGAAGGAAAAATCAAATGCACAGCTACAAAATGGGGAATAACTGGCCAGGTGGTAGTACTGCTGAAAAGGATCTGGGGATTATAGTGGATCACAAACTGAATATGAGTCAACAACATGATGAAGTTGTGAACAGGGTTAATATCATTCTGGAGTGTATTAACAGGAGTGTCGTATGTCAGACATGGGAGGTAATTGTCCCGCTCTACTCAGCGCTGATGATACTTCAGTTGGAGTCTGGTGTTCAGTTCTGGGCACCGCACATTAGGAAAGATGTAGACAAATTGGAGAGAGTCCAGAGGAGAGAAACATAAATGATGAAAGATTTAGAAAACCAGACCTATGAGAAAAGGTTAAAAAAACGGTGCATGTTTAATCTTGAGAAAAGAAGACTGAGGGGGGACCTGATAACAGTCTTCAAATATGAGCAGGGTTGTTATAAAGAAGACAGCGATCAACTCTTCTCCACAGAAGGTACAACAAGAAGCAATGGGCTTACTCTGCAGCAAAAGGGATTTAGGTTAGATATTAGAAAGTTTTCCTAAGGCTATGTCTACACTGCACAGCTTACAGCGGCACAGCTGTGCCGCTAAAGCCTTGCCACTGTAAGGCACGCAGTGTAGCCGCTTTTGTCGGCCGACAAAATAAAACCACTCCCTACAAGGGGCAGTAGCTTTGTTGGCGGGAGAGCGTGTCCCACTGAAAAAGGGCTGTCCACACCGGATTTGCGTTAAAACTTTTGTTGGTCAAGGTGGTGTTTTTTCCACACCCCTAACTGACAAAAGTTTTAACGACAAAAGTGCAGCGTAGACATAGCCTGACTCTGAGGATAGTTAAACACTGGAACAGACTTCCAAGGGAGACTGTGGAATCCCCGTCATTGGAGGTTTTTAAGAACTAGTTAGCCAATCACCTGTCAGGGATGGTCTAGAGCAGAGGTCCCCAATGTGTGGGGCACGCCCCTCTGGGGACATTCGGGGGGGGCGACTGGGGCCTGGGTCAGCCCCCACGGGGGGGCGAGGGGGGGCAGGAGTCACCTAGCTCTGCTCCAGGCCTCAGCCTCGGCTCCCGGGGCACTGCTCCTAGCCCCGGCTCCCAGCCCCGCGCCTGGGCCTCTGCTCCCTGGGTCCCATCTACCGGCCCTGTGCCCGGGGCTCCACTCCTGGCCCGGGGTCCTGTCT